CACTGGAATGGCTGGGTTACCACGGAAACGGCCAAATTTCCTGGCATGATCTGCCCTAGAATCATGTCAAAGGGCCACGTAGCGTTGGGGCCTGCAGACGGCGAAGCTCCGCGTCAATATCCACGAAACCGGCCTCCAGCTTAGTTTGATTTTTTGAGCTACAGTCTAAACTCCTAGTATCCCCCCTAACAACCCCCATAGTAGTCCCATGTAGTCCCCTGTATAATCTCCTATATAACCCCCTTTAAGGAGTTTAGACTATGGGTCATTTCAGAACTCAGAGCTTGCAGTAGCAAATCGGAAGAGCATGCTGCAGCATCCGGAGCATTTCTGGGCTTTGCTGCAAGAGCTAATCACCGTGCGGCTGCTTTGCGGCGGACTGGGGTGAGGTGAAGCCTTCCTGCATGAATCTATGCTTTGGTTTCTGTGTGCCGGCCGATGCGCGATCCTCCAAAGGATTCAGCTCATAGCTAAATGCCTTGCCTCTCTTGCAGGGAGCTTGTGTCAAAAGTTTCTCTATGCCCCATGCAGCAGCTTGCTTCCAGACCTGTATATTCCGATCAAGACTCTGTGACGCTACGGTGCTCGACATGTGCGCTGTGCTCGGAGTTGCAGCAAGGAAGCCTTGCCTCCAGCCTGCACCCCAGTTCGACAAGCCGCTGGTGCGATGTGACGAATCGATGGACCCAGTCTTTGTCGACATCCTCTCCTGACTAAAGTGGGAGCTTTCTGCGCAGCAAGTATGCCCTGCATCCAGTAGCGCCTTCGTCAGAGTCCAAGTTCTTTGAGAGGACCTCCAACCGATGCCTCAGTGCAGTCGCCTGACACGAAGGCGGCTCAAGGAAACAGCACATGCACAAGACGCCCAGCCTCGGCATGTTGGGCAGACCACCGCGCACCAGTAGCTTGCAAAGCTGAAGCCAGGATGGTTGGCTCCTCAGGGCACATACTGCACGGGCAGGAGACGAGCGTATTGCAACCTCCACAGGACTATGGTGCTTTGCTTGTGGCTAGCTACCCGTCCAGGGGCCAAGGCGACAGAATGCTGCTAAACTGAACACTCTGTTCCAAAGCAGTCCCGCATCACACTAGGCGGCGAATTGAGAAGACGCCACATGGCATCAAACAGCACGCAGCTAAAAACACGTGTGCTCCATGCCCACCAACACTCCGGTGCACTCGTGTCTTGCTACTGAGAGTTTCCAACACTGCTGCCGGCAAAGATACCAGAACTCTCGCTAAGGTGCGCAACAAAACCCAAACAAGTACATCAACATGCAAGCAGTGAGGCCATGACAACTCCGAAGCATGACCCTTGGCTGCAATGTTTGCCAGACTTGCTACTATACTATGATAGTTTCCATCTTCATTATGCCTATATACACCCAATATACTATAGTAGTTTCCATTTTCGTTTCCATTATCCCTGAAGCTCCGTCTTCCATACAGTCACTTGGATGCGCCGAGGCAACGGAAGCGAGGCTGCCGGCAAGAGAGGTCTGGCTGTATAGTCCCCCTTAAGTAGATAGACTATGGGGTTTAGGATTATAGTCCTCCTTAAGTAGATAGAATATGGCTTTGGGTATAATATACTGAGATCCTCGTATACCTAAGCAAACCTGAGACTGGACAGAACCTGACCACGAAACTGACCCAGACGGCCCATGCTCTCCACTTGTACTATACTCTGAACTCCTTAAGAGGGGATTATATAGGGAAATGGGAGTATGATAAGGGTGATTAAGGGGGATACCAGAAGTTTAGATTGTAGCTTGTTTGTCCACACAGCACGGCTGCAATCTGCATGCGTCAAGGCGGCGCTCCTCAGATGAATGGGAACCATTATCTTACCAGGCTTTAGTAGGAAACAAAGGAATGTGTTATATGGGGATTATATTCCCTGAGTCTCTGTACCCCCCAGTAAGCACTGGCAGCATAAGTGCATGAAGACCCTGGGCTTTCGAAGGAAGGCCTTTGCAAAAAAAAGCTCGGCACCTTGACTTACTGCCGGTTCGTACGGAATAAGGGAGTATAATCCCTATACAATCCCTATTCAACCTTTTTCCTTATTCCCTACTGAACCCTAGCACGTCTACCATGAAAGCAAAAAAAGCAGACTAGTCTTAGCGCCGAGTATACAAAACGCTAGCATCCATTATGAATCGTTCAGCCACTGATCTGGTAGGCTGTCTGAGGTATGATCCCCCTCAGGGTCCCCAACTTATTATGGGCCGTAATATTTGACTCTTGAACAACCCCTGCAATATATGTCTTGGGTGTTGGCTCGGCTTGTCTGGCGTTGTGCAGTCTGGTCTTCGGTTGATCTACTGTAGCTATGACATTAAAGAACTAGATTCCTGGCTTCCAGTCCAAACGGCAAGCTCTGCAAATCATCTACAGTATTGCCAAGCTGCTATCTGCCAGGACCCATCTGAGACCGCATCTGCTGGATCAAGTTGGCTTGGAGCTCCTACCAGTGGGAGTTGGCAAGCATAATCAGCTCCGTGCATCTTTATTCGAAATGTCACTTAACAATGCACATAGGCAAAGCTACTCATAATTCTGATAGTCTCCCCAAGCTGCACCCCCTCTTTTTACCTGCAGGGCTAACGGGAGCCCTCTTGTCCTCGGGCTGGATTAATTTTCGGAAGCCGCAAGGCGCCCCTCAGACCCTGAACCTTCAAGCTACTTCTGGTGAATGAACCCTTTCCTAGCCAACAGGCTTCCAGTGTTTCAGGCGAGGTCTTGTAGAACTACACTGTGAAGCGGAACCACCTTGCGATGGCTTAGGCGGAGGCGGCCCAGCGCTACAACAATAAACATAACAGAACCGTTGGTGACCAACTCCGTTTCACGGGGCTTCGTCTGCCTGAAGGTGTCAAGCTCAAACAGATCGCCCTATGCCAACATCTGGACGAGAACATGTCTTCGTCAACCTTGAAGCAAGGCATCCCGCATATCCCGCTACTACCATACATAGGTCCTGGCGGATCCTCTGGGCCCCCTCATGCATGGCACGAGCTGCTATCCTGGCAACTTCTCAGTACTATGTGCACTGCGGTTCCCCACAAACAGATCTGTCTACAGGCAAGGTGCTTCATATCAACAAGGTCACTGGCGAAGCTGTCCAATCTGAGCAACTTCACGACCACTCTTCTACAGTTCCACTACACTTGCTTGACAATTCGGGCTGTTCAGCGCGAATCTGCCGCCGGCCAGCAACCCACTAAGCTATCGTGATTTGTTTGGCCTCAGGTATCAACAAAGTCTGATTACCACTCATGACTCATAACCTCTATGATTACTGGCTTTGATTGCTATTCTGACTACCGCCTTCGTCCTTGCAGTCAGATGCCATTGTGGGCATTAAGTGCGGAATCCTGCCATTCACTCCCATCCCGCGCTGTGGCTTGAATGATCCAGCGGGGATGTTGCGCGGATTCTTCCTGAGACTTGCGGGTTGTGTTAGTGGGGAGTGAACAAATGGAGCGGAAAGTGCGAACAAAAATGCTACAATATAGCATGCGGACGACCATAGGGATCCATTATGATCCATTCCTCCCTTCCCTACTCACAACCAGAAAGAAGATGCAACTTCAACATGTGGGTAGTTCCCAAAATTAGGGTCCCCTTTTGGTACCCCTAGATATCATGTGCCGTAACATAATCTTAAACCAAAAGGGGCCCATAATTTTGAGAACTACCCATGTGAGCGTGAACTATTCAAAGGTTGCCCCTGCAAAGCCACTGGCATGGGCTGTCTTCGCCCTTTTTGAGGTCTATAGTCCTACTATAGACCCCCTTAAGTAGATAGAATATGGGGTATATGGGGATCTTATTATAATGTACCCTTATTTTATCTACTTAAGGGGGACTATATGTCTGCGACCATGGTCCCTGCATGCGTGTAAGACCTGACTCCGAAGAGACCTGTCCGGGCAGCTTCAGGAAATCTTCACCTTTGCCCTTTGTCCCCCAAGCGCTGTGAGATGTCTGTCTCCAACGACTTTCTAATCCCCGAAGGAAAATGCTGTTTCACAGCCTAAAGTGCTACTCCCTAGGCTGCAGCAATGCAGCAGCATTCGGCGAACGTTCTGTGCGGGTGCCACGGCTTCTTGAGCGCTTTCCATCTACAGCTTGAGGATGTGCTACTGCCTGCTGTGTATAAATTGGCCTACCCGTGGAGCCCTATCCATTCTGGACTTGACTGGCTAAAGGTGCTCTCTGCACCTTGTCTGAGACCCTATGCAGAAACTGACCACCAAACTGAAGAGCATGCATCCGCAAAGTGCAGTTACAACGTCGTGCTTTGGGATGCTTGCTTCAAAGATGTTGCTGGCAAAGGCTTGGAACAACCATTCCAAGCACCGAAAAAGAACAAGAATTCATCTGCATACCTGTATTCATATAGGCTTATACCTATATTTGAGAAAACACACATGTATTCCTACCCTGCTCCTATATCACCCCGATAAGGTAACAACTGGAGGTGTAGAAATTAGCTGCAAGCGGAGATGTGGGAGTTTCTCAAAGTACGAGAAGGGATTCTCATGCATAGCAGGGGACTCACGGAAAGCTGTAACGGGCCACCTCAAAGATTATGCGGGGCTTATCTTGTGACTAAATGGCGGTTCCCCAAAATTAGGGGCACCATTTTCGGGGTCCCCATAATAAGGATTAAAATATATTGGAGTCTTTATGGATTTCGGAAAGCTACCAAATGCAACCCGGCATGTCTAGCGTTTAGCATAACTACATTTTTGATCTCTGCAGCAGTCATAAACGTCAGCTCGTCAGACTGCCACAACAGACAATGCGCGTCCGCAATTAGAAGAAGCCCTTCAGGCATGTTATCACCTTGCACCCCAAACCCATAATTGGTCTATTGGGTCTACTGACCCAATGTCAGGAATCCTTATCAAGCCATGCAGCCCTTCGCATACTGATGGTCAGTGCGCAGGAGACTCCGGCTCGTGCTGTGCCGTGTGCTAGGACGACAACTAGCCGTAATGCAGAAACATTAAAAGTCTCTGTCGAATTTCTTGCTCTTCCTTGCTCACAAACTCTTGCAAGCCCAGGTTGTGCAACGCCTGATTGAGTTTCGAATCATCAGCGCTGTACACCCAACTGACAGTGAGGCCAACAAGCTTGCAGTAAGCTTCTCGTGCTTCACAGATGTACTGCTTCACGCCATCTTGGAATAGTTTCTTCCCCTTTTTGCCCCAGTTCTGGTTCACATGAAAGAATTTCTTCTTGCTGCGAACGGCTTGCTTCACAGACTCTTCCAATTCCCGCTTATCCGTTTGCCGCTTGGTCTGCGACTGATCTGCCTTCTTGACCCGAAGCGCAAACTCCTGCTTGTCCGACTTGCTACTCTGCTGAATCGTTTTGTCAACGACTGCATCTAAAGCCCGGGCAGCAGTTGGCCCCTGTCTGACTGCGGCACGGCATACTGGACACAGGAAGTGTTTGTGTGTAAGCCACTGGTTAATGCATTCACGGCAGAACATGTGCCCACACTCTATAGAGGCTGCGTGTACAATCCAGTCTTGGCAAATTGAGCAAACAAGCTCTGACTGAAGATCTTTCAGCTTAACCGCAGCAATACTCTGTGGCGGCTTCTGGTCCGAAGCCTTTCGTGCTCCATGTGTGGCATGAAGATCTTGCTGCTGGCTCTCGTTACAGTCTGAGTCAATGTCAACCGCTGCCCCGGTTCTGCCATTTGCACCAGGCACTGCTGTCCACTTTGGAAAGGTAGAAGTATCTGTTGCTTTTGCAGCTGCAGTAGCTTGGCCCACTGCTTCTACATCTGCTTGAGATTCTCTCCTCTTTTTCAGCTGTCGTTCCGGATTCAGCATGTCCTTCTCTTCAAACACATAGTCGAACACAGGGCGATCTTGCAGCTTCCTTACCCAAGCAAGAGCTAAAACACACACACACACACACTGTGAAGCACTGCACTCGAGCTCTCAAACATCCTTAGCCGCCTTTCATACAACGGCAAAACTTTCTCGTGACCAAGGATCCTGCCGAAGCAAACATGATCACCATGTCTCAGAATCTTCGGCACCGTCAGCTTGTTATCGTTCACATGGATGCCATTCAGGCTCTTCTCGTCAGTCAAAATCCACATGCCTGGGCTGTGCTTCGGCCCGCGCTGCTTTGCGGCAAGCTCAACTAGAAAAAGGTCCCACTACGGGTGAGATCAAGCAAAGTGCCTTCATCCTCCACCAACCTGGCGTGACAGCGGCTAATCATCTGCGGAACCTCCGGCGAGTCCATGACCACTGAGCACACGTCCGGTTGCCTCCCGACCTTCATCTCCTTGCCTGGAACAAGGTAAATCACCTGGGCAACTCCAAGTTTTGCAATGCCATAGACAATCCTTCCCTCTTCTGGCAATGTGTCAAAGGAAACACAAAACAAAGACTTGACCAAGACGCGGGTGGTGAGGTGAAGCGGCCCTGCGGGTGGCCGTCTTTGAGCCATGGCAACGAGCTAGCAGCCGCATCTCCTGCAAGGCATTCCACCGCACCCGCACGTGACGTATCATGATGGGCCAGGGGTGTTGTATCATGTTGAATGTTGAACTTAAGACTTGCAGTAAGCAGAAAACAGCTGTGGAGGGACAGATTCTTTTTGGCATGGTCTTGGTGGCTTCAAAATCAAAAGGGAGGTCTGCATGTGTGGCTGAAGGGCCTGTTGGATTGGCCGCGTCAGCGACGTCTGCCAGCAGATCCTTGCGCACCAGCCTCGCTGTTGCCGAGCCGCTCGATGCTTCCGGCACAGCACGCTTGAAAACCTGATGGGAGTGTCACGCTCGCTCCCCTGTCAGCACTTGCCAAACAGGACCAGCGGGATGAGAGGGGGGGGAGGGAGGGAGGGAGGAGAGAGGAGAGCAGAGTTCCTGCTTTACGCAATGCTGTCTACCCGCTCCCCAGTTCACGCCTCCTCGGCCGCTGCTGAGGGACAAGGAGCTTCGGCGCTTGGCGCTGTCGAAGCCCGGGCCATGGCGTCCGCCCTCTGCTCTGAGTTTATGAGTCCTGGGGTTTCAAGCTAAATAGTGACCTGTAATTGGCTCGGAGGTTAGGCACTTAGCACCTGATTGCCTTCATGAGCAACTTCGAACTAATTATTCAACACAGCACCTCGATTCTGAGGCCTGAGGTTCTCAATGCAACCAGCTTTTTGCGCAAAAACTGCAAAAATACCACTGACCCTTGAACCCAAAGTTTTTCAGCAAGCAGTGAAGGGCCTCGCCTCCTTACCATGTGCCGTGGCACTTTCCATGTCTGGCTTCGCTATATCCTCCTAAATTGCATGACAAGCTCTGTTGTGAGAGCAGTGGGGTTTAGGGTTTCTGGCCCCAACTACATCCAACTGGGTGCCGAACTCTGAAAAAAAACGGGTTAACAAAGCAGCTACTTGCAGTGCATAGCCTGCTTTGTACAGCTCTAGACTTGTCAGTTTTCAAATTCCTGGGGTCTGTAGGCTTAGAACGCATAAGGGTCCCTGGAATCCCTGAAGAGCCTAAGAGTCCAAACTAGGGGCCCACCCTTCAAATCTTAGACGGATGCATGCTGATCCATGGCATTGGCTCCAACTTGGGCGCTGAGCGGCTTCTGTTTCGGGTTGGCGTCGTCGGTGTCGCTGCTGCTGCCATCCTCACCTTTGCATTTGAGTATTTCTGCACATGTGTCACACCTAGCATGGAGTCATGGAGTGTCGCAATGGAGCTTCGAAGGAGGCGTCTAGCAGGGTACCCAACAGAAAAAATGCTCGATGCGCTCGCAGCGGCATGAACTAAACTATGGTGAACTCGCCGCTACAGCTCCTGCCGTGTTCTCAGTGGAAGACTGATGCAACCTTCGGGCCAGTCACACGTCACTTATCCCCCCGCCGCCGATTCACGCTCAACTCCAAACCCGTAGAAAGGGCGTTCTCTGGTCTAGACTCAATGAATGCTGGGCGACACAAGTGCTCACCAGCGGCGATCTTTTTCCTCAGCTCTTGGCTGTGTGCATCTGCCCGGCTGCTCTCTATGCGCTCCGCACACCATGCCTGTGCCCTTGAATGGCAAGTATAACGTCTGCGACAGTCCGTACCCACCCCGAAGATGCACGCCAAGTCACACAATGATCATTACGGTTGCAGATGGCTTCACAGCATCACCCAACACCTTTCCCAAATCTTTGAAATACCTGAAGACAGCCGAAGAGGGCTACATGACGAACGGACATCCACTCAAACTACATAAGCACACCAGCCTGTACTGCTTGTCCTCGTCCCACTTGGACATGACCTCGCAAAGCTTGGACTCTGCCATCTTGTCCAGTCTGAACTTCTTCACCAGCTTCTTCATCCTGGGATCCTCAAAGCCGTAGCTTTTGTGCCCCTGATGCACGGACGAACCGTTGACCTACATTTGAGGATTTCTTTTGTCAACTCCAATGTCCTGGACGACCCCCGTAGGCTCTTCAGCTGGCCTGCTCACCAGCCACTCAGCCACTTCACTGTGAAACGCAGATCTGCACAAAATAGGAAGAATCACTAAACCCTAAGCCCCCTTATGGTAGTTTCCTTTTTCTTTTCCATCATCCCAATATGACCCCAATATACCCTAAACTCTAAGCCCAGACTGTCTGCTCTTGATTGATGCCTTGATGCGTCGTCATTTGGCTGGTCCTCCTCGCCCAGGGACGACTGCAAACGCAATGTTTATTCTAAAAGGCAACCACAGAGCACTCACCAAGACAAACACTCCTCAGCAGTCTGCTTTCTCTTCTTCCTTGGTGATGCGTCTTCATGTGGGATCTTAGGCACACTGGTAGCTCGATGTCTTCTCCCTGACCCAAGGAGCACTGAGGCTTCGGCCCCATCAGGGCGTCACATGGCCTGTTGTGATAAAGCTTAATCCTATTTCCCTAATACAAAACCCCCCCATCCCCCTAACATTAAATACTCCACTGTGTGGCATGGTATGGTATGGTATAGTATAGTATAGTAAAATGTAGTATAGTATATTGGGAGTATTTAATGTTGGGGGGGTGGTTTGATATCAGGGGGAGAGGATTAGCAGTGCTGCAGGCTATTGAACATGACCCCACCTGGCCTGAAGCCTCTTCTGCCTTCCTCCAGGTCAGCTACCCATCTGGGGATTCACCCCAAGACAAAAGCTGAGCCTTGCCGACATCAAACAGTAGCTTCCATTTTCTTTTCCATTATCCCTATATAACCCCAATATAACAAGTCTCTTTCAGCATGTTGGTCTGGAAAAAAGCAGCCCTCACGAAAATCTTTCGGAGTCTCATCAAAATGACCTGCGATGTTACAAGCCCTGCGGGGTGAGTGGATGGCTCAGCCTTGTGTGCTTTCTGCAATCCCTATAGCTTCCATTTTCTTTTCCATTATCCCAATATTACCCCAATATAACCCCAATATAAGGCCCATTACCCCAATATATCCCTAAACCCTGTTACAATACAGTATATTATAACCCATTATAGTAGTTTCCAGCGATTGCTTCAAGTGCGCGCTGGCGGCTTTTCCGCATCTGCTACTCTTCCTAAGGTGAAACTGCGAGGCATCTCAGCCCTGCCCACGTATGGAAACGTTTGCAGCATCCTTTTCGAGGACAACCCTGAAAAACAAGGAGAATGCTGGGTCAACTCGGAAAAAGGCAGCGCCAATGATCCGGCCTTTGAAGGCTGCCGTGACTTGAAGAACAACAAGTGAATAGCGTTTTGTTGGTGGTTGAGCCTAGTAAGATTAAATTCCATCTTTAAACTACTACACTCCAGCAGCAGGATATAATCTTACTCTATATTGGGTACCAGAGAATGCCAAAATAAAACGCTATTCAAGTGGGGCAACTGAGACAAACTGGAGGATCTGTTCATTTGAACGTCCGTAGAAGAAAACGAGACATGGAAGCTGGAGCTACCTCAATTTTTCGTAATCTGATAGCTTAGAAAGACTCCCCACCCTTTGATAGTGGTGCAATAGGAATATAATCGGGCCCTAATATAATCCTTGTTATGCCTTAGAACTACTGTTACTGGGTGGGGGGTCCACCTACCTCATATCCGAAAAAGGAAACGTTGCGCTCCATGACTCCCATGTCTGACCCTAAAGCCATAAGCATAAGCCAAATCAATGCTTCCGGGGCGTTCGGGCCTTGCGTGTCTGACTTTCAGCTGGCGCAGCAAACGCATGGCAACGGAAATTAATAACAAGAAGAAGAATAGGAAATACTGAAAACAACAGCGAGAATAGTAGTAATAAGTATAAAAGCAAATAACAATGGCAATAATGATATAAATATATATATATATGCTCACC